TACTACTACTACTACTACTACTACTACTACTACTACTACTACTACTAGTAACAAGAAGCTACTAGTAAGAAGGGCATCGTTACTAGTATATAACAAAGGGCATTACTACTAGTAGTATTCTTGCTACATGTGAACTCTTGTGACTCAAATGGACTTACCGCCTTCAGCTTCTTGGAGTTCAATGTGCCATCCCCAGATTCAGATTTCGCCAATTGAAAGCCTCTGCCAGCTGTTGAATGGCTGTGGAAAACCTTGCCCGTCTGAGAGATCCATAATTCTCCTCTGCGCAAGTCCATACAGAATAGAATCTTCAAGAAAAAATTGAATGCCGACAAACAAAAACATAACTTTGGGCCAGTTCCCCTTTCATGCCTCCATGCAGACCTCCAAGCCAATGAACAAACTGATGGGCGTGTGCAAGGCTCTGCACTCGTTGTAGATCTTTACGGATCGATGCACTTCATTCTTTCCTCTGCCAATTCGGCAAAGAAGCTACTAGTAGCAAGGTGCATCGCTACTAGGAGCAAGGACGCTACTAGGAGCAAGAAGCTACTAGGGGCTCCTTGCCTTACTACTACTAACAAGAAGCTACTAGTAGCAAAGGGCATCGCTATTAGGAGCAAGGACGCTACGAGTAGCTCCTGGCATTAGTACTAGTAACAAGAAGCTACTGGTAACAAAGGCATTGCCAGTATGTAGTAATTGCAATTGAAGAAAAGACCTTGTTCACAAATACTACACAGTAAATCGCCAACTCTTGCGCACAAATCACCACATGAATGTCATATCATATCTAATAACGAATCCCCTTCAACGCTCTGCTTTACGCTTTTGAACGCAAAACCCTCAGGAGAAACTCTTGAGAGTGACCATGAAGCCTGGTCCATTCTGCCACCACTCTTCATTTGTTTTTCGGCTTGACGGCAAAATCCATCCCCAGCACCGGGGACATGGATTTATTCCTCGGTGCTTGTGTCTCCCCTTCTGTGACTAAACTGACATGCCGCATGCCCTACTGCTAGGCGCTTGGCACTTAGCACTATCAATGGTGGCTCTGGGACTTCTGTCACCCCTTGTGCACTCTTCTTCGAGTCTCTCAATCGCTTTGATGCCTTGCCGCATCTCTGCCAGTTCGGAACGAAAGGCCAGGATAGGAGCCTGCAGGCATACTTCTTGAGAAAAAAAGTTCGTTGCAGGAAACCAAAAATTTATTGTTCCAATTGTTTGAATCAATAAGGCGGTAATTGACGCACTCCGTGAATGGAATGGAACATCAAACGCGCACCTTCTGCACCCAAGCCATGTTCCAATCCAACAATTGGGCTTGACCTGCATTCATCCGTCCAGCATAGACTAGAAGAATCAAAAACTTCCCGTGCTGTCACATCTGAGATCCAGGCGAAGATCAGGTCGATTGCAAATCACACACTCCAGAGCATATTCCCAGTGCCTCATGCCACCACAGCCTGCAAGAACTAACTCTCGTTCACACGCTCTCATCAGCACAACTGCTGACCTGCTGTAATCCCACGTGCTTCGTTGCCTCTGATGAAAGCTAAGGATTTGCATCTCTTCCCCTTCACTAGCTGCCCACCACAGCGATGCTCACGCACGCGTTGACCTGATATGAGCCAAAGAGGCACAGCACTTTACAAGATCTACACACAATCTAGCTTTGAGAAAGAGTGAGAAGTGTTGCTGTTGTTGCTTGCGTCATGCTACTGTACAATGGTTGATGGTTGATGAGTTTCAACATCCCCATCACAAGGAACATACTCTGTCTAAATGTGAAACAAATCCGCGCAACGAGGCAGGTGTATCTGGACAGTAAATAAAAGGAGAACGAGTCACCGAGTGTAGACTACAACCAGCAACCGTTCAATCCGAGACTGACTTGCCGATTGGTGAAGTGGTTTGGCGCTTGTTGCTGCACAAGCTGTTCTATTGGCTGATCTGTTTCCGGAGGCAGGTCCTTTATAGGGTTGCCCATGTCGTTTTTCCCCTGGGTTGGCTTCGCCTTCCCTGTTCCCTGAGCTTTCATGCACCTCTTCAGGACCAGGACCAGTACAAAATCAAGCCAACCCTGCACAACTAAGCACCCCCCCTTGGTTGCAATAAGTATAAGCAAAAAGAGGTCTGGTGTTCGGCCAAGCAGCGGGGTCCAACTTTTCGATATCGCTCGATGTCCAACAAATTCCTTAGACTAAGAAACATCACATCAAACAAGAAAAAGAAACCTCGAAATCCAAACTGAAGACAAGGTGCACCCACCCAGCCAATGAGTAGGGATGGTCGCATGTTGTTTCTGCTGCCTACAAATTGCTGCGACGATGACGCAATAATATCCCACTAAGACTGCGGGGTTCGAATGGAAACTTTTGACATCAGCGCAGCTAGCCTTGACAGAGGACTTCAAGGTCGTATGTATCTTTTCAATGGTCTTTGTCCAGGGTCGAGATCCTTAATCACGCAGAGGAACACAACCATGAAACTTCCAAAATTCAAGCAACGATTGGTCCGTAGTCTTGGAGCCTCAAAAACCATTTACTTAGACACTCCATTGGAGTCCATGGCTCGACTCTTGCGCACCTCCACTCCGGGGAACGCTGGCATCACTAAGACCATGCCTTCATTGCTCCAAAGTAACTCCAAGCCTGGTCAACTGCGAGGTGCACAGCTGTGCTGTGATGGAAGGCATGCTGGTCCTAACAAAGGAATTTATAGGATGTCATATGGCCGCTGGGATCATCAGCATTGGGCGACACAGCTCCCAAGTTGCTCCACACTGTTCCTAGTAGTTTCTTGTTCCTGGTAGTAAGGCCAGGAGCCCCTAGTAGCGTCCTTGCTCCTAGTAGCGATGCCAGGAGCCCCTAGTAGCTTCTTGTTCCTGGTAGCTTGTGCAGGGGGGAACAGCGCATCGCAGCAGCCTAGGCCATGCTGGTAAATGTTGCGATTGCTCTATCGTTGTCTGCTTTCTCGCACCCAACAAAGTGGGAATGTTCAACGAGTTTGCGCGGAGAGATACTGTAGGTCTCACCCCGGTTCCAGCAATGCCAACGGCTGATTTGCAGCAACAAGTTTTTTGGGCATTCACTATTGGATTGTGACTTAGCAAGACAAACACGGAATCCAGGAGTCTAGGATAAGCATCACTGCTAAGTAATGGGATCACAGTGAGTCAACGGCCACGGTTTTCGCTCGTCGTTGTTTTGCCATTTTCGTGCGATACTTACAGTACTTTGAGGTTTCCTGCAGCACCACTGGGGATAGCGTTCAGCGTGATGTGCGCAGTGTGGGGGGGGGGGGGGGGGGGTAGGAGAAAGGGTCTCAGAGTACATTTATATACATGTACGCGTACAGGCAACATCACATGTGAGACTCTTCTTGAAAAGCCTAGCCTCACTGTTGAAATGAAAGAAACGTGGCCGACAGAGATCTGAGATTGAACGGAAGACTCGCATTGGAACACAGGAAGCTCTTGAAAAACTAAGTAGCTTGGGAGGTTGCTCAAAACATTCAAAACCTGCTTTGTCTTGTAGCAAAATTTCATGGTCTATTTCCCAGTCAGGTGGAAGCATGAGTGGAAGCATGAATGACAGCCTTGGCAAAAAACATCAGAAACCCAGTCAGGCTAAAGATTTATGTACAGCGTATGCACAATCAAAGTCCCTACGGCCATCTATGAGCCGTGGACCCAGTTTCCGCTCTACCGCCTCTACCCTAAGGCCCTAACAATGTGTGTAGATTGCCAGAGAAGAAAGCATAGGATGCGGTTCAACACACGAAAGCCAAAGAGCACACGGCGAATCATATCCACTTCAAAAGAAACACAATGAATGTAAGCGCACCTGCAATCCAACTGCAAGTTGATTGCAACTAATGACATCTACTGTATAATGACATCTGATGACATTGTCAAAAACATGGGCCAGTCGGGAAACGCCTTCCCTGATCCATGAGAAGTTTTCTTGCACCATCCATAACACTTCGATGTCCATCAGCGCCAAATATCCTGGGAAAATTTGCTTACAGTAGCACAAGCTGTTGCTGCAACATCTATGGTATGTCAAAAGAGCAAACCTGCTGCCATAAAATGCAACTGCCTCAGTTAAACTGGACAAGCACCACCTGTGATACCTGCTGAGTGTCTCTGCTTGCACCGGTCGATAGCAAAGTAGTGTGCTATCTGCACCTGACAAAAGCTGTGACCAATATGATCTGTACATCTCCGTGTGAGAAACGGTCTTGTCTTTGCACTGCACGAACCAATTGAAAATGTCTTGCCTCTTCTTCATAGTCTTCATTGAATTCTTTGTAGGCAACAGAACGGTGGCGCTCCTGTTGGCGATTGTTCGTCTGGATTTATACAACCTGAACACATCATTCCGGTGCAACATACAAAATTGGATTTGGTCCAGCTTCAAAAGCGACCTTCCTTTGGTTGTTCCAAATCTAGTGGCCTTCCACCTCGAGTCTGGCGGGTGCTCTTCAGGATGGAAATTTGCGGTTGTATTGACTTCGTCAATGTACCTGAATCAATGCAGCTAATTCTTGACATGTCCACTTACCTCATTCATCTTCTACTGGCTTCAAGAACCGGTACACATGTTTAGACTTCTGAATTGCTGCCCGAAGACTCAGCACTGTAGTTCACCGTCACCCACTCATGGAGTTTCCCACTGTTGACTAGCTTCTGTGCGTTTACCTCAATCTTGAAACCAACAAATGTCAACACGTTCAGAGGCGGTTCACGATGGAATCAACAATAAATCGTTGGCTGACTCAGCAAGCCTTCAGTGAGCTGTCACCTCTGAAAGAAAAAAACAACATAATCCAAATTGATTTCCAAAAAACTGCCAGTAGGTCCGGGATTTCGCTGCGAGAATCCACCACCAAAAACACATGCGCAAAGTTGAAGTGCTGATGTTTGAGAATGTGTCTAACCTCGGCATTGCATCTCAGCATCTTCTTGCCGTTCAAGACATTGTGTTTCCCAATTGAGGTTTTTAGCCTGGTTTTGTCAGCCAAGACACTCTCAAACGAATTTCATGTTGGTGATGCGGTTTTGCAAGTATCGCCAAGCAAACCCCGTCATTCTCTGAGGAGTCACAGTGTCCCTAAGCAAACTCCACACAAACACAAACTGGAACATTAATTGTCTTGTAGTTTCATGTCGTTTTATTTTGTACTTGTAATGAGTTGTTGGAATCCTTGCGTTTTGACGACCCCACCTCTTCTGCACAAGTGTCTTCAGAAGCTCCGGCAACCCTGAAACACAAATGACTTCCAATGACAAATCTACAAAGGCCACTTTAAGCATTTATGTAAAGTGCATGACTTGTAAGCAATTTACGTTGTTGTCTTTCCATTGATCCATCAATGTCAAGGCACAACAAAAAACTCAAAATAGCTGCTTTGGAGGCAAGGCCGACGAGAACCCACATAGCACCATTGGAGCAAACATTGAGACTAAGGAGAAGTGCAACTGCATGTCAACTATCAATTTGAAGTCTGAATCATTATATACAAACTGCGTGAATTGGTGCACGATCTTTGCAAAAGTGAATGTGACGCAACTATATATACTGTGGACAAACTTGTCTCGGACGCACGCGCAAGTTTTTTTAATCAACCATGTTGGTTCCGTCTGCACATGGTATGCGTGTACTATTGGGATTGCATGTGCTTTTCCCAAGCATGGCACATCAATTGTGAACAAAAAAACAGCAATGCAACCAGCAAGGATCAGCAAGGTATACACATACAAAGTAGCAAGGACATGTTCAACCCAGTACTTGTCCACTCTACGGTAAATGTGCACTTTGTGGATAAACTGCACAAACCTCATTCACCAAACCTTTTTCTTTTTGACATGTTCCGCCACAACCGTGCAGGTGATTTCAACCAGCCACAGGAAACAAAAATTTCCATGCAACAACATTTTTCCCAAAAAACAACAACATCTTCCATAAATTATCCCAACCCCACCTTTCACGCAGGACATCAACGTCGCACAACAAATAATGTAGTGCACACATCTGGGTGCTCAAGAAGGTACAAACAACACGCAGGAATGCAATGTTCACAACACGCGACAGCGAATTGATGTGGGAAACGGAATGACATGTGCGGAAGACTCTATTCAGCGTTGCATTGTGTTTGGTTGTCTTAGGCAGTTCAAGCCCCGGTTGAATTCCAAGAGTCTCAAGCAGTACTCCAACATCCGCAGGAGACACAAAACTAAAAAAGAAAGGACGAGACCATGTGGAATCATGAATGGGACTGGCCCCGCTCAAACAAGTTAAGCAGAAATTGAAAGTTCACTGGCAGCTAAAAAAATCACATTGGCACTGCAAAGTCTCAAGCCAGCAAATGGTTTGCACCAATTGCACACTTTCCACCAAGCGGGTAGAAAGCAAATCAGGAAAGAAAACTGTTCAAACAAAATTACACCGGCACCTGGCAGGCGTCTCGACTCCAATTTGTGCTCGACAGCAAAAGAAAAAGAATGTAGTGCAGTGTCTCTGAGTTTTTTCATATTTTATTTTTAATTCCTTGCGTCTCCCACTCGCAATGGCAAGTTGCGTAAACCAGCTGCTTTCAGCAATGGCCCCAACAATGTGCAATCCACACAAGCACCTTATGGCACATCTTTTTTGCACGGGTCGAGGCGCTATGTGTGCAGAGGATGCACAAGTCACCTTAGGCTAGTGAAGAGAGAGTTACGAACCAAAAAGCAAAGCAGCACCAAAACACAAAAAACACAAAACACCCCAAAACCCAACCCCAGAAAACAATCCAGGTTCGTAACTCGAGTCGGCTATGTCAGCCAGTTGAGAAAGGTGAGACGGGGGGCGATGAATTCAGCCTTTGCACTCAGTACTTCATCATCACGTCATCATGTGAACTCCACAAGAAATGACTGTTCAGCATCCTCGTAGCAGTCAAGTCCTGTGAACCTTCGTGCGAGATTCTGCGGGCTACGCCATACTTCAAATGAGGCCACTTCGGTCAAGCATAGTATTGCAAAGATTGGAGTTACACGAGCGCATGAGCAGCAGCTCAAGCAGAGGCAATCGAAACACTCAAAACCAACATCCCTCGAGTTTTTGCTGGCAAAAATGTCGGAATTGGACTGTCAGACACATGAGGCTCAGGGAAAACCACAATGTCAGCTAACAAGGACTCCAAATCCTCGAAAGCACAAGAGCGGATCCGAAACATGTAGTGTTGTTGTGAGTGGAGTGCATGCACAATTCCGCCATGGCCAAATCCCCCCCCCCCCAAAGGGGGGAGACGGCAACAATGCACCTCGAGTTTGCGGCGATGACTCCAAAAACAGCTTTGCCACGGGAGTCACAGAAAGGCAAACCTTCCAAAGAGGTAGCAGGAGGCCAGACTGAGAGGCAGACTGGCTCAATGGCAACAGGATGTTGAGCATCGATTGGCGCCTTGCAGGTATGCCGCTAGTTTGTGAGTTCTTGAAACACGCAAGTTTTTTTTGGCACGAGTTCGGACGCCATGTGTGCGGTGTGCACAGGTCATCATGAGAAAGGATGGAGACTCTGCATATTTGTAAGGGGGAGCAAACCAGAAACAGAACCAAACAACAACAGCAACAAAAACAACAAACCACCCCAAACAAAAGAGACCCCCAAACCGAATGAGCAAAGTTTCACACTGTATTCTACGGTGAGACGAGTGAGACGTAAAAGAGCGTTCAACTAACTAATCGGGCCTGAATTCACGAAGTTTGCCACACAAAGAATGGAGCATTGGGCTGCTATCCTTGAAGGCCAAACACCGGTGGCCTTCAAGAGCGGACAAGGGACAAGTCATCCCTTGCCAGGTTAGGTTGACAGCACCTCAGCCATATTCGACGACGCTCGACAGTTTCAGCTGTGCGTACTGTTTGCGGCAATTCAGATCTGTTATGATCTTTTACGATCTTCTGTAGTTGCAATGCTATTCTGGACTTGGAAAACAGCCTGCCTGAGGGCACAGCTATTACACACGGCTGCACAAGCTGAGGCGACTGTGGCCGGCTGCGCGTAATAGGGTGGAGGACATTGCAAACGAGCGTTGCTGCAGGCAACCTACCAACCTCCCTCTGCCAGGGGAGGTTACCCACACCCACCCAACAGGCTCCAGCAGGAGCATGGGGGGTGTGCGAGTATGCAAAATCGGGTGGATAGGGCTGTCTTCATGGGTCGCTATCCACTTACACGCAAGGCCCTCGTGAAACATGGTGAAACATAAAAATCTCCTAGCATGGTACTTTGTGCCCACTTTGTACAAGATTGGCTGAGTGAGGGCCCATCCTGCAGGCAGGATGCCTCAGCTGTCAATAGGTGTGACTTGTTGGCTAAGACAAGACGTAAGCGCCTCACCTTGCCCTCATGATGTTCCGCCAAGCAGACTGGGAGAGAGCCACACCATAGATCGCGCGGTAAGAGCGCAGTCTGGAAAGCTGCCGTGGCCTCACTGACATGCGTTGGCCTTAGGTCGAGGGAGCGGCAGGCATTCAGGTTTCGGGTATCATTCGTATGTAGAGTTAGTATTCCACGCAGGAGGGCAGCCAGCACCTGTTTTTTTCCACGAGTCGAGGCGCTATGTGTGCAGGTTCTGCACAAGTCACCTTGGTCAAGTTAAGAAGGAGTTACTATACAGGTTGCAAACCAAACAGGAGAACAAAACACCCAAACACCAAAACAACCCAAAACCAAAAACACCAAAAGGAGGGAAGCAACCTGTTGCGCAACTCATGTGGCCGTGTATGCCGCGAGAGAGAAGGTGAGACAGGGGCGTTGA